TATATTTTTTAAAATTTATTTTTGAAATTAGAAGGCTGCAAAAAAAAATTAATTTAAAATATTTTTTATACTATTAACAATAACAACAATAATAAAGGGATATAAAAGTATAATAATAATAATTTTTTAAAATATTTATTAAAAAAATAAGAGCTTGTTTGATTATAGTAATAATTACTCTTAAGATATACTTTTATAATTTTTCAAATTTATTTTTGAAATTAAAAATAATCAGAAAATATTAAAAATTAATAATTTAAAATAAAAAAATTAAATTTTTTTAAAAATATTTTTAAGTCAGGTTTCATAGTAATATTATATGTAATGTAAACTGATGCCTCTACTGCTTACCTTATCGTCGGTAAATTTGACCTAGAAACGAGCCAGATCTCTCTCGTTAGCGTCATTGGGCAACCAGGGATTTTGGGCCGTATCTCATCGATGCATTAGACAATAATCATGGACTCGCAAACAGGTTTTTCGCCATGGAGAAGCACTGGGATCTTCTTAAAAACAGGGTTGTTCTTCAGAAGCAGAGGACTTTTGTGGGTAACATCTTCTTCTATGAACTCATATGGAATGCCCTTTATTTTTAGAGCCCATATCACTCGGAAAACAAATGGTCTGGAGAACGCTCCAAGCAGCTTCACTACCTCCGCCATGACCAAGGGATTTGTATGGTGATTGTTCTTTACCTGCCATAGTCATTTATAGTGCTGATTTAATGAAAGAGTCTTGCTTGGGCAGTGGGCAGTACATATTTGCTTTTGAGGGCAGCTGGGAATGCATTTCAAACGGTATTTTTTAAAAAATTAATTTTTTATATTATTTTGATGATCTAAAGTTAAATTTATTTTTCTTAAATAAAAAAATATTATTTAACTTTAACAAACTTCCGACCATCAATAATTCTTTTGCCTTTGCTTTTGTGTGATGGGTCAGCAAATTCAGAAGAATTTAGTTAATGAAAGCGATATACCTCGAAAAGGAGTTTTTCTTCCTCCATTATTGATATATTTGCTTACATAATCATATTCATAAGCAAATATATATTTTATATTGATATTATCAGTACTGGACCAAAACCAGAGATCATCTAGAAGATGCTAAAACATAGCTCTTAAATATATATATTATTTTCCTTTTGTATGCTCAGAGTAGTTAGACGCGTGGGAGA